GTGGTTGTCTCCATAGTAAGATCTAGTACACTGTACTAGACTGTACAATGTACTAGACTGTACACTGTTGTTAACTCTAGAATGATTGGCTATGAGAGCCAATCAATTGAAAGGATGTTTCCTCAGGGTTGTGGCCTACATCAATATAATGGACACTCAGGCAAAGCTTGCTTGCTTTCTGCTGAGTCTGGATCTTGCTCCAACATCTGGTTCTCTGGACTTGGGCCAGTGGTCTGTTCTATTTGCTAGTCAGACCTGCCTGCTGATCTTGGTTTTTCTGACCCGGACTTGGGACTCTCCCACCTCTACAATTATGAACTATTTACTTGATATTAGCTTCTCTCTCTACATGTAAAACATGTTTCCCTGGTTTTGCTTCTGTATGGAACCCAGCCTAAGACAACCATGGACTGCCAGAAGAACAAACAAATCTGTCTTGAAACAAGTGCAGCCAGAATGCTCCTTAGAAGCCAGATGGCGAGACTTAATCTCTCATGCTTTGGAGAGTTACCAAGAGGTACCAGTTTCTGGAGAAGGGCATAAATGCTTGGTAAAATGGAGGGTCAATGAAAAAGAGTAAGAACCTCAATGAAATTGACTGACACAGTGGCAGCAACCATGGACTCAAATGTAACAACTATTGTAAAGATTCTACAGGACCAGGCAGTGTTTTGTCTTGTGTTTAGGGTCACAGTGAGTTGGCACCTGACAACAACAATGATGTTAATGACGTTATGATGTTATGTTTCTGGAGCTTATCTCTTTTGAGACATAAAAGGAGAGAGAAGTAAGTAGAGAAAGAGGGACCTACTACCACCAAGAAAAGAAGAACCAGGAGTGGAATGTGTTGTTTGGACCTAGGGCCCCTGCACTGTGAAGCTCCTAGAGCCAGGGAAATATTGATGCTGAGATTCATGGAGATCTTCAAGAAATGCTGGGACTCCAGATGCTGAAAGGAGACAAGGAGCCTTCTCCAGAGTCAGTACTCTGATTTCAGACATCTAGCCTTCTAAACTATGAGTGAATAAATTTCTGTTTGGTAAAGACATCCACTCATGGTATTTCTGTTACAGATATAAATGGGGAGGATCTGACTATTTAAAAAACATAATTTATATCAAGCTTTTACTATGTGTCAGTTACTGTTCTTTATATAAACTAACTCATTTAATGTGCAAAACTCCCCCAGTGAGGTGGATACTATTAGTATCTCCATTATCTTTATGAGGAAGGGTTTCCCACATAGTAAAAGCATGATGTTCGATTTAAATTTAAAAAAACAAAAAAAGCTGATCCTCCTCCCCACCTCAGGTATCCGTAGATGTGAAGTGACTTGTCCAAGGCTATACCAGTTAAGTGGCCTAGTAAGCATTCAAACCCAAGCAAGCTACCTCTAAAATTCAGGCTGTCCCTCATTGATGCTCACAGAGCACTGGGCTCCAGCTCAAGAGCACAGGGAAGCTTCCAGTGGGGTCTCTGGGATGCAAGGGACTGTCTTGCATCAGTCTGGATGAGCAGACCTGGAGCTCTGTAAGAGGCTCTGAGAGGACTTTCTGATTATGAAGGTAGTGATCGCTAACATGCAGGTATGAATAGAGTCTGATGTCCTCCCATGGAGGCCAGTTTGGAGGGAAATGTGGGTTTCTGAAGGGCCTGAGTTCTCATATCAAACCTCCCAACACAGAGATGAAGGGTCCTGTGTGGCCCTGGGGCCAGAGGCTTTGCCCATTGGCCACCTTCTCTCCAACTACCTGCAGCACCCTCCCCATCCCCAGCTCCACTAGGCTGTGTCTGAAAATGAAGAGAACCAAATATACTGCAGGTTTCATGCCTGCCCCATTTTCCCTGCAATTGCTGTTTCTGCTTATTTGGCTAGAGATTGCCAGGTGGGAGTGCTTGGAAACTGCCAGGGTTCCAGGTGTCTGGCACCCATCCCAGAGGCCTTGATGATCTGGCATTGCTAAGTGACCACACAACAATCCTCACCTTCCAACAGAGTGGTAGGATCCGTGGTTTACAGATGGGGAAACTAAGACACAGTGTCCCATTTAACATTGTTGTTAACTGCCTTCCATTTTCCCCCAACTCATGGTAACCCCATGCAAAACAGAATAAAATGCTGCCTGGTCCTGTGCCGTTTCCATGGGCAGTTGTGCTTCGGATGGTTGTGACCCAGAGGTTTTCATTGGCTGATTTTCGGACGTAGCTCACCAGGTCTTTCTTCCTAGTCTGTTGTTGGAAGCTTCACTGAAAGCTATGTAGTATCATTGCAACAAAAATGCCTCCACTGAGAGATGGGTGGTGACTTTGCACGGCTGCACATGAGGTAGGAGAATTCTACTACTGAACCACCCATGTACCACCCCCTGCCTCTTTTAACATACATATATCATATAATTTCATCCTCATAAACTCAATGTGAGGTGAGTACTCATGTTGTCCCATTTTACAGACAGGAAAAGTGAGGTTGCGACTGGGGAAGTTACTTACTTTGGTCATATAGCTCATTAGGATGTCAAGATTCAAACTCACATCTGTCTGATCTCAGAGTCCATGTTTTCTCTGACAAACTGGGGTGTGTGTGTGTAAGTGTGTGTATCACTGGCTGGGGAGCAAGCTGACCAGAAAGGTGAGGACAGAGGCAGTCACAGAGTCCAGATCATGAAGGCTAGGATGCATTTCCTTTCAGGGGAATGAAATTTCATATCACAGGTTGCTGGTTGCTGGACAGAGGTGAGCAGGGTCTCAAAGAACCCAAATGAAAAGAGCTGTGGATGGGACTTGGCATTCCAGGTGGAAGAAATTGCTAAGACAAAGGTCACAAGGTTGGACATTCAGACATGGCAGTGTTAAGGGTGAGGCTGGGCTCAGTATAGTGTCAAGAGGGATGAGGAGGCAAAGTCAGAGTGAGTCTTGAAGAAAGGCCTTGAACGCCATGCCATGAAAAGCAGTTGGACTTTCCTCAGGAACCACGGGGGCTTCCTAGCAGAAACCTGTTTGCTCGACTGCTATGGTGCATCTCACAACTCCTCACCTTTGCGGACACTATGCCCCCTGTCCAATCATATTGATTCATGTAATTTTTTTTTTACCTTTTTATTGTGAATTGGGTGGTGGTTTATAGAGCAGATCACCAATTCATACATATTTTGTTTCGTATCATTGATTGCAATCCCCTCAATGTGACATCACTTATCCCTGTGTTTCCTGTTTCCATGCCTCTCTTCCAAACTTTTCTGAACCTTGTCTTTGGATAAATGCTGACTTTTTCATCTCAAATTCTATGATGTGCATACGTGACTAGTGTTGTTCTTCCCATGACAGACCTATTATTTTGCTTGTGGAAGAAGGATGAGGCTTTCTGTTCCCCAGAAGAGTAAAAGCCTCAGAAACCCTATACAGGGTCGCTAGGAGTCAGAACCGACTTGAGGGCAACAATTAACAACAATTATTTGACTGGAAATTGAGCCAAAGTTGAGTTCAGTTCCAGACCAGGTGACTAAATACCATAGTGTCTGATCCCACCAGTCTCTAACCGACCTGGTCCCCGTTTGTGATTTTGAGTTTTGTGCCACTTTTTTCTCCCTCTATCCAAGAACTTCTAATGTGGGCACCATCTAGTTCTTCTGGTTTTAGAGCTGTGGAGATAGATGCTCATTGTTGATGATCTTCTGAACATATCTGATTCATGAGCCAAGTCCTGCCTTACATCCGTCTGCCTACTGGTTCGCTTTAGTTGTTTTCCAGTCGGTGCCTGAAGAGCCTCCCCCATGCTCAGTTCCGTTGAGGAACGGAGCCGGCCAGCGCAGCACCCACCCCAACCCAGGCGCGCTCCCGAAGCGGCGCACGCGCCCATCACCGCTGGGACGTGACTCTGAGAACGTCCGCTCCCGGCCTCAGCGGCGACCGGAGAATTACCCACGACAAGCATGTCCCGCTCCCGAGGTCGCCACCATCCCGGTTCAGAATTAGGACCTGGTACTTTCGACCCAAAGTTTGAGAACTTTCCGCTGGTTTCAGAAGTTTTCTTAAGTGTCCTGAGAGCTTTTCTCCTGTCGAGCCTCCATTAAGGCACTTATTTAGCCACCCATTTACCCTTTGAGGTCCTTCCCCCTTCCCCCTCCTAATTAAGTCACGACCCAGTAGCCACGGCGACCTCCTGATTGATAGACATGATTACCAACCGACTTCAGGAAATTCCCATTTGAGCCCGCCCGGCGCATGACCGGTGGCCCAATTAAAGAAGTGGACGCGCCAAAGGGGGCGGTAACGGGGCTGCAGAGGTTGTGGCGGTTTCCCGGTGGTTACGTGCTGGGGACTTGGGCGTCTTCGGGTTTTCGGACGATGTCGTGATACAGCATAACAGCGTTGACAGCGTGAGCGCACTCCTGCGGAGGGAGCCCTTCCGACTCGGAGGTGTCGGAGCAGGGTGTTATTTGAGGGCGCTCCTTCGAAGCCCTCCAGAGAGTGGGGGGAGGGGTGGCGGACTAGGAACGTCCCCTTGTGCGCTTGCGCTGGCTCTCCGTCAGCGGGCCCGTATTCCTGCGCATGTTCGTAGTGCGCGGGGTCCTGCGGCGGCCGGCTGTACTGCGCGTGCGCCCCCGTGAACCTTCTGAAGAGCGGAGCTGGCGGACGTCGGGCGGGAGGCCAGTGACGTCGTGAGAAGCGTCTTAAAGTGCGGCCCGGGCCAGTGTCCGAGGGTCCGACCGGAGTCGGTCCGTGCCCCCGCGGCATGAGGCGCGGCCGGCGGCCTTGCCCCCCGGGACGTGGTGAAGGTGGAGGAGGAGGACTCCCCGTTGCCGTTACCGCTGCATGACCCGCCGCCTCTGAGGCCTGACCCCACGCCCGGTTCTTGGACATCTCCCGCTGGGCCCTCTGGCCACGCATGGGGGCCCGGCGTTGAGGAGCGCTCCTCTACGGGGGCGCCGGGGCGCGTCCCCCAAGGGCCATGCCCTGCCGCCCCGCCCGCCCCAGAGGACCCTAGAGAGCGGCGCGGGGCCATGGCGGCCGCCGGCGGCTACACGGACCTGCGTGAGAAGCTGAAGTCCATGACGGCCCGGGACAGCTACAAGGCGGGCAGTCGGGAGGCGGCAGCCGCTGCCGCCGCCGCCGTAGCTGCTGCCGCTGCCGCCGCCGCCGCTGCCGAACCCTACCCGGGGCCCGGGGCCAAGCGCAAGTTCCAGGAAGACTCGGACCCGGAGCGTAGCGACTATGAGGAGCAGCAGCTGCAGCGGGAGGAGGAGGCGCGGAAGGTGAAGAGCGGCATCCGTCAGATGCGCCTCTTCAGTCAGGACGAATGCGCCAAGATTGAGGCCCGCATCGACGAGGTGGTGTCCCGCGCCGAGAAGGGTTTGTACAACGAGCACACGGTGGACCGGGCCCCGCTGCGCAACAAGTACTTCTTTGGCGAGGGTTACACGTACGGCGCCCAGCTGCAGAAGCGCGGGCCCGGCCAGGAGCGCCTCTACCCTCCAGGAGACGTGGACGAGATCCCCGAGTGGGTCCACCAGCTGGTGATCCAGAAGCTGGTAGAGCACCGCGTCATTCCCGAAGGCTTCGTCAACAGCGCCGTCATCAACGACTACCAGCCTGGTGGTTGCATCGTGTCGCACGTGGACCCCATTCATATCTTCGAGCGCCCCATTGTGTCCGTATCCTTCTTTAGCGACTCGGCGCTCTGCTTCGGCTGCAAGTTCCAGTTCAAGCCTATCCGGGTGTCCGAACCTGTGCTTTCCCTGCCTGTGCGCAGGGGGAGCGTGACTGTGCTCAGGTAACCACCTGGAAGGAGCCCATGCTTTGTACCGATCTGCCCCGTTTCTCTGCTTGTAGGTTGGGGGAAGTTACGGGAAAGGGCCTGTTCCACGGAAAACAGGGATTGCAAAACAGCCAGGGCCTAAGGGGCTGGTCTAGAGTTGTGTATTATTGAGGCTGGTGACGTAGTCGTGGATTTGACTGAAAACTAATCAATCTACAGGCATTTTTGTAGAAGGCAGTGGAGCTGGGTATCAGGCAGCTAGGCTTCAATTTCCCCATATTGTTTAAAGCAAGTCTTTCCATACCAGGCTTCCATTTCTAAATCTATGTTTCTAAAAACATTTGAATTTAGCTGTTTGGAAGTCTATTCTGCTTTCCTGTTGGATTCCTTAACAGAAAATGCAGAAGGCCCTGAGAGTATTTAATTGAAGCTCACCTCCATTCTCCGGATGCAGGGGGTGGGAGGGGGAGTGGCTTCCCTGGAGTTGCACAGATTAATGGTTAGGTCAGGAATAGAGTTTAGCACATTCTTAAAATTCTCCCCTCTTGGCTGCAAAAGAGCCCATTGGTCCTTCTAATGATGTAGTACCTGTTTCAGAACTGAGTAAAACAAAGTCAGTTAGTCTTATGATCCTGCATGTAGCCTTGTAGTTTTGTCAGTAGCAGAACTTAGATTCTTAACTGAGAATTAGATCTGTACCCTAGTCCCCAGAGGAGGATGCTTGCCGGCATACCTTTGTTTATGTGAAGTAGAAAATTTATTTGGAACTTGGCCTCTTTTCAACACTGAAACAGGTAAAAGTATAGATGTACTTCAGTAGTTCTCAAAGCCTATTACGTCTAGACGACAGCTGTCCAGTGAAACTTTATTGACCATTGAACCGGTAACATTGGGGTTTTGTTATGAGCAAACTAATCCCCAAGTGGAGTCAGGACAAGCCACATTCCAGGTGAGGTTGTGTGGAAATAGGGCCCCTGAAGCCCTCTTCATATTGTAGGGCAGGTCGTCTGTCAACAACAGAGGTTACTTCCCTATCTGTATGTAGATGGTGGCAGAACTTTGTGATGTCCAAGGTTTCCTGACAGGAAAGTCTACAATTTTAGGGATGACAGAAACAGTACGTTGCCTTCCTTGTATCTCTGAAGCACAGTAGGTACCCACCTCAGGAACCCAGAGGGCTGTTTACTATTATCAGGCAGATGCCCCCCTGTCATTTAGACAAAACTAATTCTCCGCTCTACATAGTGTTTCCAGAGTGATGTCTGGGCATAGCTCTTTAAAATGGGATTTCTAGGCCAGACCCTCCCAAGAGGCTTGCTGTGTACAGCAGGTTGGTGTTTGACTTAATGGGAAGGCTCTCCGTGCTAAAAGGATCTCATACAATTCAAAGACCATTTGATCTCTTAGTTAGATATTAATTTTCCACATGGTCACAGGCCCTCAGAATTGTTTTCAGGAGGTGGAGCAGTGGCAGGTGTGTAACAGGGAGTCTTAAAGCCTTCCCAATCCCTTCCAGCCTTTCCTGGATTCTGATTTGGCTGTGGAGTTTGTGTGGGAGGCCTAGCTACCTCCTGAAAATGCTGCCCCGGGCTTTGAATTCAGCTCTAGTTTGTTTTGGCATCTTGTGGGCGTTCTTGGAGCTGGTTTTCACCTCTAAAGTGGGGTCAACTTCCGAAGTCTATTAGGATTAAATATGGTGATTTGGTGTCTGCCACAAAGCTTGGCACAGGGTAGGCACTTAAATAGGTACTTACTTTCACACATAACCCTGTTCTCATGCTGGGCAAGGGCTAGGTATTTGGTGGAGCTTGATTCATGGCTCTTAGAGTTCACAGCCCATCTGAGCCCACACACAATGAGTAGTAGAGCCCAGGATGGTAACTGCAGGAGCACACTGAGGAAGACAGCTTATCCTCTAGCGTGTTGGAAGGTTTTGGGAGGATCTAAGCTGGAACTTAAAGAATGATTGGGAGTTTACCAAAGAAAGCAAGGAGGGATGCAAAAGTAGCAGCTGTGACAGCGATAGCAGGGTTGGGGTGTACCTGCCAAAGAGGCAACAGCAGGTAAGGGAGAGTGCTGACTTGAGGCATAGGTGTTCTTTATTAGACCTTAGATCCAATTTGAAGTAGAGACCTCATGGGGTGGGGCTGTCATGGTATAACTTCTCAACAGTGGCACTGTTCACATTTTGGCCTGGATAATTTATTGTGTGGGCTGTTTGTGTGTGTGTATAGGGTATTTAATAACATCTCAGGCTACTGGAAACCTTCTGTGATAGAAATGTTTCCAGATATTACCAAATGTACAGGGAACAGGAGGGACACAAAATCACACACATAAACCGTTGAAAACACTTCTCTGGGCTTCTGGAACCCAGCCTTCAAATTTACATCTCCTAGCACCTGCTCACTTATCACTTTCAGCTTACTTTCTGTGCAGGTGGGTGCCTGTTAGCAGTGCCCTTCTTCAAATTCCATTTGTGTTCTTCCCTTAAGCTAATAGGAGAGGTGATGCTTTCTCACAGTTTGATAACGTAGCTCAGAGGTGATGAGCTATAAAGCCTTCCATGTTGGAAGGAAGGAGCTGATTATAATAGCCGTGTTCTGATGATGGGGGTGGGGGATTCTGGTAATTCTCACTCGACTTGGGCTTCAATTGGTGGTGGTAGCCGTGATGTTTGTTCTTGTCCCAGGCAACGTGGCAGGAATATAGTTTTATATTTAATAGTCAACAGCATATAAGTCAGTGTATGGCAAATATTGACTCAGCAGTGCCCAAACCTGGGCATTTAGAGCAATGCTTCATGAACAAGCTCCTAAAGTACTTGAAGTCTTTTCCCAGTTGGCAGTAGTTTTTTTTGTAACCTTACTATGCTGGTGTGTGTGGTACCCCTCTTAATGCTTGTTCTCTAAGGAAGTAAATATTGCTTACCTTCTTTATACATCAGCTCATCCCACATACCCTCTCTAGTCCCTGTTGTGTGAATGTTATTGTTGTTAAGTGCCGTCAAGTTGGTTCCAACCCATAGCAACCCTCAGCAGGGTTTCCGAGGCTGTAAATCTTTACGGGAGCAGAAAGCCTCATCTTTCTCCCGCGGAGCAGCTGGTAGTTTCGAACTGCTGACCTTGAGGTTCACAGCCCGATTTGTAACCACTACGCTACAAAGTCTTAAGTGCCGTCGAATCGGTTCCGACCCATAGCAACCCTATATAGCGTTTCCGCATTAACCCTCATGTGCCAGACTGCAAAGCTGTTTGAACCGCCGACCTTGCTGTCTGGCACATGTGGGTTGATGTGGAAACCCTATACAGAGTCACTGTGGGTCGGAATCGACTTGACGGCACTTAGCAACAACACGCATCAAAGTCTTGCTGTGATGCTATAAGAAAAGCCCTGGGCAGCTAACTGCAAAGTTGGCAGCTCAAACATACCAGCTGCTTCTTGGAAACCCTACGTTGTTGTTAAGTGCCATTGAGTCAGTTCCGATCGATAGCCACCCTGTCTAGGGTTTCCAAGGAGCAGCTGGTGAGTTTGAACCGCCGAACTTGCAGTTCAAATGGCTTTGCAGTGTGGCACATTAACCCCCAGCGCTACACCAGGACTCCAGGGTGGGAACCAATTGTATGGCACTAAACTCTGGTAGCGTAGTGGTTACGAATCGGGCTGCAAACCTTAAGGTCAGCGGTTCGAAACTATCAGCCGCTCCGCGGGAGAAAGATGAGGCTTTCTACTCCCGTAAGGATTTACACCCTCGGAAACCCTGTACAGGGTCGCTATGGGTCGGAACCGACTCAACGGCACTTAACAACAACAACAAACAATTAACAACACCAATTGGATTAATTGCCTTAAGGCTAATTGCTTACTTGCTACTACTTTTAATCACTGCTACCTGGTATATCGCTATCATTTTTCACCAGTACCTTTAGTGCAACTTGGATTTAGGATGTTTCCTGCATCATTCAATATTTTGCCCAAAGAATCCTTCAGAATTGCAACCTGAGGCTTGAAATTTTTCATCAGTTCTTTCAGCTTGAGAAATGCTGAACATGTTCTTCCCTTTTGGTTTTCTAACTGCAGATCTTTGTACATTTTACTATAATACTTTGTCTTCTCGTGCTGCCCTTTGAAATTTTCTGATCACCTCTTTTACTTCATTTCTTCTGTTTGCTTTAATTTCTCTGCAACCAAGAGCAAGTTTCAGAGTCTCTTCTGACATCCATTTTGGTCTTTTCTTTCCTGTTGTTTTAAAGTACTTTTATTTTCTTGTATTATGTTCTTTATGTCATCCTACAACTGCTTACTCTGGTCTTTGGTCATTAAGTGTCTACTGCATCAAATCTTGAAAAGTTCTCTAAATTCAGGTGAGATATACTTAAGCTTGTATTTTGGCTCTTATGAACTCTTTTTAATTGTCTTCAGCTTCAGGCTGACTTGCATATGAGTAATTGATGGTTGGTTCACAGTCATCCCCTGGCTTTGTTTTGACTGATGATAGTGAGCTTCTCCATGGTCTCTTCCAACATGTGAGCTCAATTTGATTCTTTGTTTCATCTGTTGAGGTCCACATGTATAATCTCTGTTTATGTTGTTGAAAAATGAGTCATTGGTCTTGCAGAAGTTGGTAGAAAACTCCGTCTCATCGTTATTGGCTTTTGTAGCTATTGTGTAAATTTGAGTAAGAATTGTATTAACTTGTTTTCCTTATAAGCCTGTGAGTATTATCTTATTATAGACAGCATTATATTTCAAGATCTTGAAATAACTCTTGGATGATGAATGTGGTGCCATTCCTCTTCAATTTGTCTTTCCCGTCATAAGAAGACCATATTCTATTCAAAATGTCCAATATCAGTCCATTTGTGATGTGGCAGGTTAATACGCTGGACTGCAAGGTCGGTCTGAACCACAGGGTTAAAGGTTCAAGCTCACTAACTTCTCCTTGGAAACACTATACAGGGTCGCTATGAGTCAGAACTGATTCGACGGCACTTAACAACAAATAATGCCTATGA